TACCTGAGTGTTGATATTGATTGATTTGTTTAATGGCATATCAACTCCTTATGGGTTATTTAATGCCAAAATTTAATTTTCTTGAAAGCTTTGAAGTAATAAAATATTCTGCTTTCACAGTTGAATACATGGTAGACGATACTTAGCTTTTGTGCATAGACATATCTGTGTGGACGTAATTACTAAAGGTTGTGAATTATGTGTTTTATGTTGTAGTTTTATTAAAGTTATATTTTGGACTACAATTTGATTTAAGAAATTGCCAGATATTTCATGACAGTTTAAAGTCATGAAAGAGTTCTTTCATATTTGTTGTTTGACTGTTTTTGTTTTGCGTCATATCAATCTCTATCTAATGCTGAAATGTAAATAATTTGAACGGAACTGTATGACTTCAACTACAGATAAAATGTATTGCTGGTCATGTTGCTTTAAAAATGTATTGTTGCTAATTTTACGATAAATGGCTATCGTTGCTATTTTTATTTTTTTACATAAAAATGTATTGCTGGTATTTTTTACTATAAAAGGTATTTTATAGTATACTATTTCATAGTGTTTTTGTTTTGGGGTTCATTATTTGCCCATAGCTGGCAACCTAACAGGTGCTACCAGCCCGGGTTTCAGTGAACCTGGGAACAAGAGATGGTTCCGTGCATCTCAAAACCTCCAATCACCCGATTAGACTTGCTGCCGGATGTAGTTTATCGTTATACCCAGGCCTTAGGCCTAAAGTGAAAAAAGGCTTTACAAAGAAACTTATTGAACATTTATCAAATTCTTTTGAGCCTGGTCATTAGTGAGATGGGTGACCACTTGGATGCGCTGGTGGTGCAATAGATAATGGATCGGAATTGTCAATCGGAGAGCCGAGTTCCAATTCCAGTTGGGTTTATTACATTCACTTACGCGCAAATACTATGACTCCACCTTTTTCTCCCCTCTGCCATGGGTTAATTATTAAGATTTTTATCAGTTACTCAAAAAAAAGAAAAAAAAGAAAAGATTCTTACAATCAAAAAATATTTTGTGGCTTTAAATAACTAGCAAAGGGTTGATAAGCCGTAGAAAACGATTATCTACACAGGTTGGTCTTATAGATTTATTTACACTCTAGAATATAAATGTACAGAAAATACCGAGGCCCCAAAGTGAGGGATCAGTTTATGCATTGGGTGTCATATAGAATTGATCCCCCACTTTATAACCATATTATAATTTCGTCTTTGTCAGATTCGTATTAGGTGTGGATCCATGTCTTCTTCCCCAGCTATGGGTTAATTCGAAAAACATATTATTAAATAATTATTATCCTAAAAAAAAAACATTATTACAATCTAAAAATATTTCTGGCTTTAAATAACCTACAAAGGGTTGATAGGTCATAGAAAACGAATCAATCAAATTCTGTCGTTGATATTTTTTATAAAACTGGATGACTATATTAATGACAGTCGTGTTTGAATTCCAGTCGAATCCATTACATTCACTTACGTGCTAATAACCTTGAGAAAGGTATGGATCCTCTTCTTCTCCCCCTAGCTATGGGTAAATAGAAAGACAGACCGGGTTCTGTAGTCTTGGATGGCAACTGGTCTACCGCAGAAAGAAATGTCAACCTACTGCGAGAAAAAAATCTACCTCGTTAGTCATGTATCTTTCGATACATGATCGCCTGCGCGTGTATCACACATGGCACATAACTGACTGACTGATTATTCAATCTTGTCTATTGGATTGCAAGAAAAGAAAAAACGTGTTCATCATTGATATATATATATATATATATATATATATATATATATGTGTGTGTGTGTGTGTGTGTGTGTGTGTGTGTGTGTGTGTGTGTGTAAAGGACCGGGGGTTTACGTGTTGTTAAATTAGGAACACGTGTTTAACACCTGATAGAATATTAAAAGGTCCACTACAATGATATGTCGGACTCAAGTTGAGTCTAACCGAAGATGTAAAGAAAACAAACAAGACCGATATATATATATATACAAACAAGTATATGTATTAAACTACAAAATTTACAATGGACAAAGACATCATCATTTGTGTTTGTGCGTGAACGTAAAGAATTCGTATTTTGATGATTGTTCGTACGTACGTGTATGTGTGTATAATGTTCATGGCGTCTCCCACAAATGGGAAGACGCAATCTTCTGCGAGAGCTTACATTATAGATGTGTTCGCTCAAAACGAAGAAATGAAAAAGAGAACGAGGCAAAAAAATCGCCTAGTATTTATAGTGTAAGAAGACCGTCCCCTAGTGAACAATTTGGACAATTAAGGAGGAGTTAACTCCGACATATACGACTACGAGAAAGTAGAGTAACAACTTCTACGCGAATTTGCCTTTATACGAATGAATATGCCTGCATCAGTAGGTGGAGGGAGAAGGAGAAAGAGAGAGAGAGAGAGAAAGAGGGGCAATGTCCCCAAGTTTACATATAAAATTTCGCGATAAAAGAACTTCTAAAAGAACAGAAAATTTTGTAGCCGAATGACAAATTATGAAAATACACGGTTAAATTGTTCCTGAAATTTTATATGTAAGCTTTAAGAGGATTTTTTAAAACTTCTATTTTTACATTTTGATTTTAATGTCTCTCTCTCTCTCGTTTTTTTCTTTCTCTCTCTCTCTTTTCCACTCACGCATATATGCGTGTACATACATGAATACACACAAACACACTTGCGCGTGCGCACACGCACGAGTGAAAAGAAATTCCCGATGACGCAACCGCACCAACTCGTTGGTCACTTCGACGTGTTGTAATAGCAAGTTTGTATTGCTAGATTAATTACGACTGAATAGTGAATTCCATCCACACTGGGCGCTCCATACTTTTGACCTTATGCCACATCTGAGCTATGCTTAGAAAATAACTATACACACAAGCTCTTTATTTAATCGTATGTAATGAATGACGTATATACTTTTTTTTTTATAGTTTTCTTCATTTTTTTGTACTTATTCTATCATGTACTTTTTTCTTTTTTCTCATACAGCTATGACTGCTTCTGTGAAAATGAGAGCATATCAGACAGTCCCTGGAAAAATGCCATTTAAAATGGATCTAAAATCTTTCTCTTTTCAAAACTGGTTAAATGATTTAAAACATCGGGAATAGATGTAGATGAAAAAAATATCAACAAAATAATTATTTATTTATTCTTCTATTCTCTTTCAAACTATTTCTTTTTTTATTCGAATTTTTTTTTAATCGTTTGCTGTGAGACTATCTACATTTTCTTTCTTTTTATCTGTTTGATTTTTTTTATTTAAGGAATTATTATTATACTAGCTTAAAAGCGACCTTATCGGGCGGCATTTAAACTAGCTTCTGCGAAGGGCTCTTGACTGGGCCTTAATCACAATAGATAGAGACGAGTAGATACAATAGGCAACAATAAACTACAGAACTTAAAATTGGTCGATGCATTTAAATATTGCCTTAATATTTAAGCTTATCTTTTAAAAGTTTAGCTATAATTATTCTGTGGCCACTTAATTCAAAAACAAGTTGATGTACGTAGGTCCTTACTTTCCGTATAAACAATTATTTCATGGTTGACTTTCGTTGGATTTCTCGATTAATTTCGATTATTTCCAAATTTATTTCCAAGTTATAAAAATTGTTTTCGTACAAAAATATTCGTCGCAAAAATCACGTAAAAAAATCGCAATAATAAAAACTTGTTGAAAATCCAGATAATTTTATTTTGAAATACAATAATTTTTTCATTGGAACATGAGCTATTGCAAGTTAGAGAATTGTGTCGCTTTTATTTGTTTTTATCAACCGATTCCGAAAACAATCCAAGTAATGAAAACTTGGGAATCCCAAATTATCAGGATTGCGGGTCGTGGATCAATCCCGGAATGTTTTTAATTTATTCACGGAGTTAGTCTGATTCCAGAATGGTATGATATGTTGGGCTACGGCCTCTAGGAGTAAAGATGAAAAAGTGTCACACAGTGACACACTGACATTCGCATTTATTATATAGATAGTGATTTGTTTGAACTAGTGTCTTCATCTTGTTTATTACTGTCACAACATTTCGACCGTTGTACTCTCCGAACTTCTTCAGCTATCTGTCGTAGTTCGAAACATTTTCCACCCTCCAAACTCTCTCACAAAGGCGGGCGTGTCAAGCCTCTCACTCGCCCTATCGCTACTTCCATGGAAAGTTCTCGGACGAACTGCATTCTTTGGTTCCACCAGTTCTAATCTCCACGGCCAGGACCCGCCATGCTACTCAAATTATAGCAAACCACCCACATTCTCTGCGTATTCAGTCGTTGAGAAGTTCCACTCGAACAGCTTCTTCCTGCGAACCACTGCTCTATGGAACCGACTCCCAAGAGGATGTTTCCCGATCACTACAATCTTAACCTGTTCAAGGCTAGGGTTAGGTATCTTCTACTCATAAACTGCTTCTTAATGTAAACCTCTACATTGAGTGGCACCCAGGCCTTGTACAGAGTGAACCGTTTTCCTTTATGTACCGTGACCCTTCAGGAAGTAGACGATCATGGCTCACCACCTGCTTCTGTCCCTTGTAGCTCTAAGTTTTGTCTTTTTGTTCTTTTTCTCAGACCCTGTTCTGCCATCAACTTGCTCAATCCCATTTGTATATCACGAGTTGCTTTCCCTTGTCCCTCTATCCATCCAGTGAGTAACAGATTTCCCAATTTTTCTATTCTCTTCAAAACCTCGTTGTTGCTCACATGTTCGGCCCACGGTATCCTTAGCATCTTTCTGTAGAACTGCATCTGTTGCTTCATGTCTCTTCTTCATCTTTGAGGAGATTGTCCAGCATCCGTTGCCATACAGGAGGACAGATATCACGTAACAGTCCATTACTCTTTCCTTTGTTAGCAACGAAACCCTCCTGCCTCGTAATTCTTTCTTTCTTTCTTTCTTTCTTTCTGCCAACATGTCTGCTACTTCGTCTCTTTTGCCATCCACCGTCTTTCTTTCTAGATTTCCTCCATTCTTGTTTCATCATCCACATTCTTTCTTTCTTTCTTTCTTTCTTTCTTTCTTTCTTTCTTTCTTAATATCTGTCTGTTTTGTCATCTACGGTATTTCTTTCTGTCTGTCTTTCTTTCTTTATTTATTTTTTGTTCTTTCTTTCTTTCTTTCTTTCTTTCTTTCTTTCTTTCTTTCTTTCTTTCTTTCTTTCTACATTTCACCCTTTCTTTTTCTGTCTACTCATCCACCCTCTTCTTTCTTTCTTTCTTTCTTTCTTTCTTTCTTTCTTTCTTTCTAGATTTCCGCCATTCTTTTTCCTGTCTTGTCATCCACTTTTTTCTTTCATTCTTCCTCCGTCTTTCTTTCTTTTTTCTTTTTTATTATCTGTTATATCATCTACCGTCTTTGTTTCTTTCTTTCTTAATGTCCATCTATCTCTTTGTCCGTCTTGTTCGTCACCCACAGTTTTTCTTTCTTTCTTTCTTTCCTTCTTTCTTTCTTTCTTTCTTTCTTATTTATCTTCCTGTTCAACTTGTATATTGTGACGTTTTCGCCTTGTTTATGATTCACGTGTTTATGCATAAATGACTGTCACACGGTCCTTCATAAATGCGGCTTTGTGTTCAACTTGCCTTCGTCTAACAAATGTCTATGTATAAACATCTGTAAGTTTGTCATCGAAACTAAAAGAGAAACGAATGCTATCCCACTCCTACGTCTCCCGCCACCCTCTACCGTCTCGACAATAAACATAACATTTACATAAATAACCTGCTTAAGTCATTTAATTAAAAATGAGGTCAAATGAATTTTTTCGGCAAGCCAAACTGAGATCTTAAAATTGGATTCCAATTTTTTTTTCCTGGACAATTAGGTTGATACAAAAGTTCTCAGTGCCATTCTTTGCATAATGGTTGTGAAATCTTAGAAATGCCTTCAAAGTCTACACGGTTCTTTATTACATGTACAATAAATGTAAATCAATGAAAATTTAATATATTGCTTACAAGTCTTATCAAAATTTCGGAAGTTAGGCCAATGGAATTTAAATGCTTGTTGGCAAACAGTCATGGGTCAGCGTTGCAATAGTTGACTTCCTTTTCTTATTAATCAAAAGAAAAATCAGTTCAAAAATCAACGTAATTGGTTCTGAAATAGCAATAAAGTTTGGATTTGATCCATGACTTACCTTAATATTTCAACCTAAACAATTCTACAAGAGGAACACCATCCTCGGCTTTAAGCATTCTCTTATTTTTCTTTAGAATTGACAACAAATGAATTACCATATTTGACGGCATATAAGGCGCATTCTTTTTTTTTACTGAAAATATCTTTTAAAATTCTCCCACGTCTTATATGCCGAAATTAGCGACCTGGCAACTGCTATTAGCTTAGACTTAAACATGAGGGACCAATGGAACACGTGGATGGCAATGCCTGATCACGACCTTACACTTACAAGAAGAATAAAAAGACCCAGCATTACACAATTCTGCGAATGGGTGAAGCAAGCTTGGGATAATATTAGACCAGAAATAATTGTGAAATCTTTTTAAAAGTGTGGCATTAGCAATGCTCTCAATGGAACCGAGATGACGTATCATTTAATAACGATGATAGCAGTATTGAAAATGACTATCAGAGTCTTGATAACGAAGACGACGAATTTTATGGATTTCAAGATGAATAAAATTTTAATGGTAACTGTACAGTTTTGCTCAGTTGTAATAATTGCTTAATTTTTTATTTTGTTTTCTTACCTTTGGATATAATAATAATTTTATAGGGTCGTATTCATTTTTTCCTATTATTTTTTGTTTAATTTTAATCATGGCTTAACCAAAATAATACCTCATAAATATAACCTGCACTGTACAATTTACTAATAATTTTACTAATTGTTAATTTTTCTTGATTTTCCCTGCTGAAATTGGGGTGCGTCTTATACACCCGTGCGTCTTATATGCCGTCAAATACGATAAAAACTATATATTTTATTAGAATTTTTATTTACAAGGATAATCTTATATTGACAAGATTACAAGAATATGTGAACCAACTCCAATGCAATATTTATTATTTACCATATTATAAAGAAAAAAAATATCTGTGAACAAAAAAAAAAAAAAAAAAAAAAGAAGAAAATTTAAATTAACAGATAACTACGAGTAACATTAATTAGAAATTTAGAAAAATGCATCTTCCGGGCATTTCTTTCATTTGTTTCGCCACACGAATTCACGAATATTGTTTACGAGCATTTGGATTTATACTTTTTTTTCTCTCGAGAACTGACAAACAAAAATGTTAAACACTATTTATTAAGCTGTTTAATTCTAACAATAATGTTTGATACTTTAGTGGTCAATTCCAGAGAAAAAATACAATTCATGAAAATCCACTTTCATATGTTTAGATTTTATTAAAATTATTGAAATAGCTTTCTAAATACAAATTGCCAAGGGAGTAAACAGTAACAGGTGTGTCAAGAAAAAAGCGTCCTTTTGACTCGACCTCTTTTTGAATCAACCTCCTTTTGACTCGACTGTCTTTTGACTCAATCTGATTTGACTCGACCTTCTTTTGTCTCTTTGGCGTGCTATTGACTCGACATCCTTTTGACGACCTCCTTTTGACTTTTTGAATTCACATTAAAACAGCAACAACTGCAATAGAACTTTTATTAATTTATATTACTTAATTAAAAAAGCCAGAAGAGTTTTAGATGTTTTGTTTGTTGCCGTCAAAATCGGCTAAAAATCCATTTTTGTCAATTGCAAGAGTCTAAATGTAAATGTAATTTTGAGTAGAATAAATTAGACATTGGATTGAAATAATAGAAAGATTTTTAGAATTGATTAAAAGAAAATTTTCTTATATAATTGTAAGTAAAGGTATTTCAGTATTTTTTCTTTTGACAAAATCTTTTATTTATATATACCACTAGCATCATTATTTAGACACAAAAAATATTTGGCTTATTTTCTTCCATCATCTTACATCACCTCCCAGTTAAATTGTATATTCTGTGATAAGTTGATACAAAATTTCCAGTTTTTTTTTTTTGAGAAACGATTTTGATATAAATTAATAGCATTATTATTGAACTATCAAAGTATTTCACGCGGTTTTTATGATCTTTCGTCAACTTTTAGTTAATTCGTGCATTTTGTAAAAAAACGGCACAGCTTAAAGAATAACTGGATTATTTTATTGTCATTTTTAGATATCTTTAATTTGTTATAACTGCCAATCAGAAATAGCAAGTCATGGACTGAAAGCGAACATATTGAGAAAATATGCCTCATTTAAAAGAACTTCCTTTCCAGCTGTATGATAGTTTCTTCATCTTCAGTTGCAAGACAAGCACGATTATTATTATGTAGTAGAAATTCATTGTTCAGAATAATTTTTTCTATCCCAGTGCTTCGTTCAAAAGTGTCAGTTGCTTCTTGTCCAGTGACAGTTTATTCAACTTCCACCAGTTTGTAATGAACAATTCTTGTTTTTTAATCCTTTTTGAGAGGGTCCTTTTTTTCTAGCCATAAATTCTGTTTAGGTTCAGATGTTGAAACTTGCCATCGCAGATTTTGTTAGTGTTTTATTTGTTATAGATTCTAAATGAGGAATTAATTTTTCCTCGCCAATTAATTTTTTCTTGTCACAGAATGGCGTTCATCTGTGCCAAACATAAAGAGGAAAAAAGCATTGACATCCCTTCCCGTCGATTCATATGGAACTTATTTTGCTAGATTCTTATATTTCCACAAAGCTCGTAAACCATGCACAAAAGTTGATTGATTAAACATGCAATATTTTTTTTAATGATGATCACAGTTCTTCGCAAATTCATTTTGTTTATTATCTATAAACTGACATGACGTCTTTGGATAAAACATTCCATTAGTCTTCTTTTGCCTTTTCCATTGTTTTGAATTCAGATTGGCCATTCTCTTAGAGTGGCTATCACCAAAGGCTAGCGAGTCCAGTCTTCCTTTCTATTTAACTCATTGTTTGGTGAAGAAACAGATTCATACCTTTCTTCAGGAAATTTTTACGAGAGGGAATACAACGGACTAGGATGGGATTTGGACCTAGTTTGCTGATTCCACGTTCTGCACCAATAACTGTTACACTATACTGGACAACAGAAGTAAATTTCCAAGACGCATCTAAGACACCCCTAACATTATTCAAAATATAGTAATGGGAACTTTTTGAATCAGATACATTTTCTTCAATTTATTCGATTTTTGTTTTCTTTTTTTGCCAGATGACGGAAAACATGAAATTGTCCCGGGTAAAAAAGGGGGGAAGGGTTAATTCGGTACGCGGATGCGTTCACAGAGAATCCCAGAAACCGCACACAGTGCTGAAGAATGGTTTGTAATTCTCATTACGGTTGCTTTCATTTTCTTTAAGTCTGTTCAAAAGACTTCTTTTTTTTTTCTTTTTTTTTTATTAAACTGAGATGAAATTCCAAAGGGAATTTAGGGGCTAATCCTTTTTATTCTCTCAGAAATTCTTTATCTGCGGTCAAGTCTTTGTATATTAGAAAAGGAAATTACTTAACTACGAATTTATGAGTGTATTTCTAAAGTAATGCTTTTTTTTTATTAATCCGACAGATTTTATCATTTTAAACCAACCATTCCCAATGTGGGTCGCATGACCCACCGGTGGAGCATGGTAATATTTTTGGGTGGGCATGCGCAAAATGTGCACCCTTCGGCTTGCTGTACCAACGTGAGCTCAAATTTCATTTTGCATTATTATTTCATGATTAAAATGATCAAAGTATATTACAGAAAAACATTTCATTCAAATATTTTATATTTCTGCCTTTCTGTTCTCTATTATATGTTTTGAAACTATATATATTTAACTGTCTTTTTGTTTTTTTAAATTTTTCTCTTTCATGGCCGCCATGGTCTTTGGAGGCTTGTTTACAGACCAAGTTTTTAAGTCTTTTAAACTTCCTTCACGTGAATTGCAGTAAAATTTTGAATACGCAAGAATTAAATATTACAGGGGTGGGGCACCAGAATTTTAGAAATACCAAAGTGGGGCATGGCCTAAAATCGGTTGGGAACCACAGCTTTAGACGTTATTTTAGTGGGCACACATATCTGAGATGTCCCGTTTATTTATTAAACAGTATATTTATCTATTTTCGTCTACTGACCTGAATATTCGAAAAAAGTTATTAAAGATTTTCATTTATTAAAAAGTGTATTTACTTATTTACATCTACTGACCTGAATATTCGAGATATCTTATCAAAGATTTTCATTTATTAAACGGTGTATTTATTTATAAACGGAGGATCTACTAAAAATTACGTTTCGTATTAACAAATAAAAAATCCACTTGAGAAATTGATTTGTTTGCGTTTGGTTCCGAAATCGAACAAATATGAAAATTTCGAGAATCTATGATTAGAAAGATTTTGCTTAAAGACACCATTCATACTTCCTTGATCGGCTAAATCTTTTCGTGGCTGAGTCGGTTAAAGAACGTTGGATCTAAGGAAGGTTTTCCTTTGGCCAAGAGAATGCAGGTTCGAACACTACCGGAAGTGCATG